TTATAGCTACTACTTGGAAATGTTTGGATCCACCAACCCTCACCTTATGGTATTGGAAGATATGGGACTAGAGTTGGACTCGACTGGCTTTCGAGCAAGGGAACCTTTACCTTTTTAATAATGTCAAATTTATACTCTGACATACTGTTTATAGCTTTTACGTGGTTTGTTTTAGTCTTCTGATATTATTGATTTATGCTATGTTTAAAAATTAAATTTAAAAGCTTTAAAAATTGATTTCAGACTTATGGGTAATAAGAAACAAAAAATAATTGTGAAACATCCTAATTTCAGGAAGAGGCTTGTGCTTGGTAAATGATATATTTATCATATGATAAAGAAAATTCCTAGCCTGAAACGTAACCAGAAATTACCTAGGTGAAACAGGCTCCCTTCAGCTGTCTTACACTGCAGTCCTAAACAGTTAAACCTATCTAAGCCACTGATTTAGAAAGGTATAACTCTGCTGGGAATTGGACTGCTAGAATATCACCACCATCCAGTAGCAACCAACAACAGGGTTTCAGCTTTCAAGAGTCAAAGCTCTCTTCCTCTTGCAAGTGGCAGTAAGAGAAATGGCACTTTCTGAGAGTTCCATGAGTCAGTTCTTCAGACTGCAGAGGGACTATCTTTGAATGAGATGCCTATTATGAAGTACAATTGGATGTGTAACCCCATCTATTGTTGTGCAACTAGTTGCTCATAGATACTTTGTTTATATGTATACATGGGCCAGATTTTTGCTCAATCCAATTTCATGGATTTGCCCCACCCATTGTTTTTGGGGTTTTTTGCTCAATCTAACCCAATTCCCTTCCTTACTGCAGCCCCTACCCTACATAGCTTTTATCCATGCAGATCAATGATCCACAGCACAGCCTTTTTTGGTGTTCAAAGGGAACCTCCACCTATAAATCACGACTGTTTCATACTTGGGCACCAATCCTAGACTACCTGAAGTCGCAAGCAGTGATTCCTGCTACGGCCGATAATTTGGACTTGATAAATCTCTGATTAGCCTCGTGTTAGGTCTACAGTCTGTTCTGTGGAGTGTAGTTATAGTAATTTATTGAGTTAGATCCTTGTTGTTTTATAAAGTAGTTTATATGAACTTTTTTTAATTATGGGGGGGTGAGGGGAACCCGGGGGATTGTTGATGTTAATTTTAATGTAAATTTTTCATTTAAAAAAAAAAAAAATCAAAGGGAACCTCCGCCTCCGTTTTTCACCAATGGAAAAGCTGGCTGGAGTCAGCCCATGACTACATGTGAACACATGAAGCTTCTTAATACTGAGTCAGACCCATTGGTCTATCAAGGTCAGTATTGTCCACTCTGATTGGCAACAGCTCTCCAGGGTTTCAGGAAGAGGATGCTCACTTCACCTGCTACCTGACTCTCTTATCTGGAGATGCCGGGGACTCGGGATGTTCCGCATGCAAAGCAGATGATTTATCAATGAGCCACGGCCCCTCCCCTAAGTGCAAATAAGTGCAACTAAGGCTTAATCATAGCTGTTATTTACTTCTACCTCCCTCCTCTTGAGGTATTGGTATTGTTGCATTTGCAATTTCCACATGGAAGTAAAGTCACAGCAGAATGCTGGAGCGGCAGAGAACATACCGTATCTCATTAACATAATTTAGAAATTAGGATTCTAACCCACGTGCCATAGTCTTCAGGAAAACTTCCTCCTGCTTTACAATTAGTGAATACCCCCCCCAGATGCCTAGAAATACCTTCATCCATTATGCAAGATTTAAATGACTACTATGTATTTAGATTTCTTTCTTTCTCGTTTCAGCTGAAAAGCTGACGACATCTCTGAACGTCTCTGATTTTCACCAGAAAGCTAGTCTAATGTTTAGCTAGAATGGGCTTGAGCTTTCATTTTATGTGTGTGTGGGGGGGGGAAGGGGGCAGACTGGGAAGTTAAAATGGCCTTTGAGCAAACCAAGCTAAGTGGACCATCCTGGGCTACAAGCCGTCACAAAGCTGCCACTCAGGCCAGCATGGCCAGCAGAGGGCATTGGCTCACCCACTGCCTCATCTTACAAACTGGTGGCCCTTCAGGAGAAGGCAAATGGTGGGTTGACACCAATCATCATCACTGCTGAAGAATCCGGGCTGATTTGCCTGAGACCCCCGCCCAGAAGAGTTCCTGGTTTCATTTGCTCCTGGCCCAGAAGCCCACCAGGAAATTTCCCTCTATGTAAATGGGCCCATCTATCCCTATTGTTGGCCCTTGGGCATGTTTCCTGCCTGTTTTGCCTCTTTCCCAGTGCCACATGGAAAAAGAACACAGAGTCCTTTAGAATGTGCATAACCACATTACAACTGCATAACCACCTCTCAAAAGAGCTGGAATTAGGGAAAGGACAAATGCTCCTAAGTAAAGGTAAAGGTTCCCTTACTCGAAAGCCAGTCTAGTCCGATTCTAGGGTTGCGGTGCTCATCTCTGTTTCAAAGCCGAAGAGCCAGCGCTGTCCGAAGACGTTTCCATGGTCATGTGGCCAGCATGACTAAATACCAAGGCGCACAGAACGCTGTTACCTTCCCACCGAAGTGGTACCTATTTATCTACTTGCAATTTCTTGCTTTCGAACTGCTAGGTCGGCAGGAGCTGGAACTAGAGACGGGAGCTCACTCTGTCATGCGGCAACTCGGGTCTCGAACTGCTGAACTACCGACCTTCCACAGCCTGCAGTTCAGCGTCTTAACCACTTGAGCCACCGCAGCTCCGCTCCTAAGTACCTCCTCTCATTTTATAAATTTACAAAATCTATACATGCAGCTTAGACCTGACGTGGATCGCCCAGGCTAGCCTGCTCTTGTCAGATCTTGGAAGCTAAGCAGAGTGAGTACTCGGATGGGAGCCCAGGATTGCCACACAGAGGCAGACAATGGCAAACCACCTCTGAATGCCTCTTGCCTTGAAAAGCCCATGAAGGGTCGCCATAAACTGGCTGTGAGTTGATATGGGGAAAAGCTAATGTGGCTAAAAGATCATAGATTGTGTGCGCACACTAGTCAAGATGATCAATGGGGAGCCCCTCAGGAGACTTTGGGCCATGGCCAAACGCAAGCCAGCTGTATTTGAGGAGAGATTCCACCTCATGTCTTAATAACAGGGGTGTCAAACATGCAGCCCGGGGGGGCGGATCAGGCCCCCAGAGGGCTTCTATCAGGCCCGCAGTGGAACTGGCTGTCTTCTGCTTCATCTTCCAGTTCTGCTGCTGCTGCGTCATCGTAGGTTTGCGGCTTACAGATACACACCTGAACAGCATACTCAAGATTGCAGAAGCACAGACATTTTGATGCAATAATTCAGAGCAAGAGGTGTCAGTTATTGGACACTGTTAAATAAACAGAATATTGCATAAGTGCTAATGTTTTAAGCATGATTTTATTTTAAGTAAAAAACCAACCCTTTGTGTTTGTAGCCTTTATAAAGTTTATATCTCTACTACCTGGCATTACATTTTATGACACACATGGCCCGGCCCAACAAGGTCTCATTTATGTCAGATCCGGCCCTCATAACAAATGAGTTTGACACACCTGTCTTAATAGATCTCCGTGCCCCTTTTTAGAACCAGTACAGAGTGCGGACATAGCAACCTTCTGTGTTAAAGCGCTCCTACCTAACAGCCTTCAAGGTGTGAAGGAACCAGTCACAGGATGATACACTGATCTCTCTGCAACTCATCCCCAGGGCTACAAACCATTGATGCTGTTTCACAAGCTCTGGCTGAAAGCCTGTACATGATCCCTATGCATGGTGCACGTGACTGAGGAAAGCAGCAGAAAGACGAGCTTGCTGATAACACATTGCAAAGTTCTCTTAGCTCATAAGAGAACCCTGGGCGATTCTGCATTCGCTCCACATTTTCTTGACACTGAGGAAAAGGTGCCGCTCAAAACCAAATTCAAATACCACAGGGCAACACCGTACTGACTGCAAAGTCACCTCTGAATGGCCATAAATCTATGCAGAAGGTACCATAAAACACAATGATCAAAGAAAGTCAAAGCAGCATACAGTCTAGAGGGTACCATAAAATCCGATGATCAAAGAAAGTGAAAGTGGCATGCAATGCAGAGGGGAATTTCTGTTGCAGCGTGGGTTTTAGGGTTGCCAAATCTAAATCGCCCGGCGCGCGCCGGGTGCACGTCACCCGGAAGTGACGTCACACGCTGGGGGCGGGGCCACGCCATTTGAGGGGAAAACAAAGAGTTTTCCCCTCAAATGGCGTG